AGCAGCGCTCCTTCCTGGCCCTCTGGCTGCTCCTGCTGCTGCTCGCGCAGGCGCGGCAGCTGTGCGTGCTGCTGCTGGTGTGGCGGCGAGGGTCGCGGCGGCGGCGGGTCGTGGGAAGGGCTGGAAACCTCTGGTGCCGCCAGCTCGGTCCGAGGCTTCCTCGCCCGGCACACCAGCACTGAACGCTGCCGCTGGGGCGCCAGGAGGCCCCAGGCCGCAGGCAGTGGTGCCGCCCTGCTGCTGCAGGCCCCCAGCGGCTGCTGCAGTTGCAGGCCTCCCACCGCCTGCTGCATGATTGACTAAGCGCTGTCAGAGCATGCGAGCTTCAACCGGGCGATGCCGTGTGGCGGCCCGCCCATCCACTGCCCCTCTGCGCGGTGGCGTGCTCCAGACAGCAGTGCCAAGGCTGCCATAGTACACCGGGAGGCGCCTGGCGTGGCTCTCGTTCCCCAGCCTTGAGGATGAGGAGGCTTAGCCACCCTCTTTCTTTTGGGTATCGCCGCCTTCTCGCTGGGTTTTACGGCTCCCTGATCACACCAATCAAGCATTCAAGCTGAATAATATATATTGCGAACCTCTCGGCGCATCCTGTGCCCTCGCTTGACCTGCGGCAATCGTGACTGCGTTCCGCGACGAAACAGGACGCTTCAGGCTGCTTCGCCTATGCGGATGTGGGTAAACCCTAGCAGTTTGGACGGTTCCAAGGGAGAGGCGCGCTGCCGAAGCCTTCCCCCCGTGCCGCCGCCAGCGCGCACACCTCTCCCTCCACGCACCAGCGCTCTCAGCTGGGACACACACATATCCCTAGGGCTCCAGCCAAGTCATCATGGCCTGCCAGCCACGCTGCTGGTGCCGCCATCGGGAGTAGCTCCACTCCACTGTCGTTCGGCAGGGTTGCAGGTTTGCAGGGCGTGACGGTCGAGCGTTTTAAGTAGCATCGGCACAAGAATGGCGCGAGGGAAGAATCAAGGTCAGGGAGGCACGGGGAGGCAGAACAGGGACGTGTGAAGCTGAAGCAGAGGGACTGGCGCTGGGCAAGGGGTCAGCATTGCAGGTGGCTCAGTGGTGGCCTGAAGAAACGGAGATGCCGGTGTTCAAAACTAGCGAGCGCTCAGAAAATGCATATGTGCAGGTGGGGGCAGCTGCAATGCCAGCTGTAGTGTCTCTCGAAATGCTGGGGGACGACGCCTGGACGCTGACAATGACGCAGCAGGCAGCCGGCTCCCAGCAGCTGCCTCACCGCAGCCTGCCGGCAGCTGCATGCGCAGCGGCGAGCGGCTGCTTTGGCAGCTGGCGACGCCCATGCTGCTGCTGGGCAAGGGTGGAGCGAGGCACGAGGAGGCTCAGGCGCTCAGGGCGAGGAGGGCGTCATCCGTGGCGCACGCGCTGACGGCGTCGAGGGTGCCCAGCTCGGCGGCGGTGATGCCATAGGCATCCAGGGTGGCCACAAAGGCCGCGGTGATCTGCAGGCGGCGGGGGCGCAGGGGAGACGGCAAGCCCAGGAGTCAGCAGGGGCAAGCACGCGGGCACCACGCCGGCGCCGGCGGCGAGCTTGCCCCGCGCGGAAGGCGGCGGGCCGATGCCCGGCGGCACCGCAACGCCCCCGCGGGGCATGTCGCATGCCGCATGTGCCACATTTCCCAGGCCGGCAGCTACGTGTATACGCCCCGCGCCC